GCTTGGGGCTGGTTGGATTGGGTTTTTGTCTGCATGGCTCTTCTAGCTTTCATGTTTTCTATTTGGTGGTGATTGGGAGGAGTTTCTGTAGCCATTGGTTTTCAGCTGGCTTCCCTTTATGGGTGTGTGCTTTGAAAAGGTACCCTTGTGTGTGGTTTGAAGGGACACCAAAGCAAAAACAAAATCGGTCCTCTGTTCACACCGACGTCACTCTCATTGGTGGTTTGGATTGGTTTGGAGGTGTTCCGGCCCCAGAGGGTTCAATCCCAACCCAAACCATTAGGGCCTGAGTGGTTTCCCCTGTAAAAAAAATCACCCGAAGAACCTAGAAACAAACGGTTCAATTTGTGAAATGAGCGAAACCCAGAAGCTTCTGACCCCTGAAAAGATCAAAAAAGGGAAACCCAAAGCTTCAAAGGTCAATTCGCTTTGGACTGATCCGCTTTGGACTGGTCCACTTCCCCCAAAGTGCATTTTTGATTGGTGGTTTGGGGGTTGGGGGAGCTCCCAATTCCCCACAAGAACCAGGGATTCAAATCCCCAAACCAATCCAAACCAGCAACTAAGGGTTACTTGATCAAGGAATCAAAATGGTCGACCCAATATGATTGAACGTTAAACAAAAAATGCTTAAATATATAAATATATTTAAAAAATGCAAAGATCTGCACCTAATTCTGGTTGGGACTGTCGCGAATCGGTTTTGAGGACCCCGACTGCCAGGTTGCCGTCCCGAGAGATGGTCTCCCCGTTCAGCGTCACCACCCTGCCGCCCAAACAAAAGGGAAGGTGGGTCCCCCGAAAAAAGATGGCAGGAGCCAAAATGGGTGGGTTCCCTGTTGGTTTCCCTGAGTCGCCCTTGAACCAAAGTAATAGACAAACGGCTGAAGCGCTGCCAGCAGGCAACGCCGAGAACCCCCGGGGCTTGCACTGCCAATTCCGCCTTGCGCAATATGGCTAAACACAGAAAGTGAGCAAAACACCACGGAAAAAGGGGCAGCTTTGCGTTTCCTGCCTGCTTTGATTTTGTGGGTGGGACAATCATCGGAAAGGAAACCGGATCCACCGGGCCCAACTTTGAGCAAAAACATCCTTGAGTCCAAGTTGATAGAGAAGAAAAAACAAAAAAGAAGGAACAAAAACGGGGAGCCCAAAAAAAAAAAAAAACATCCAACCAAAATATGGGATTCCCTTTTGGTGTCCCATTCAACCGGAACACCTCCCTGCGCGCCTACACTTCAGGCCCCGCTGCCTCAGGCGCTGGAAGACCTGTTGCGATCCCGCGATGGGGGTTTGACGGAAAATGTGTCACCCAAACCCCGGACTCCGCATTTTGAGGAACACCCCATTTTGAGGAACATGTGCAGATTGTGTTTCTCAGAATGCGGGATCCCCTTTTGGAAAAGTTAAAGCCAAAAGGAGACCAACCTTTGGAGGAATTGGCCCAACTCATTTTGGTGGTTTGAAGCTTGTGCCCGCCTCAAGAAAATTGCTGTACTCCCACTCATTGTTGACGATAAGCCCCAAATGGTAAGCACAGCAGTGCTTCCAGCTGCACTCCACGCGTGTGAAAACACCATGATTCAGGACAAACACTTGCAGCGGCTCAGGACGCGTATCACAGAGGCCGAACAAAAAGGGAAACCCAACCCTTTCCTTGTTTGTGGGTGCCTTTCCGTAAAAAACGTCGATCCTGAATACTTCTCCTTAGAAAAATCCTTGCGCACGTTCCTCGACACTTGGCACACCAAGCCTTCGGTGGGAGAAAAAATGTTGAAGATGGCCTCAGGCCACCAACTTTAAACGCACATATGGTCCGCGTGGTACCCTGCCGAAGAGACTTGGGGTAATGGGATGGAAGTGCACGGCGAACCGCGCCATATTGACCGATATGGGAATTGAATTCATTCCCCATAAACACAACATCTTTCCTTGATAGTCGTCCGCATCTTACTTTTGCTGAAGGAAAACCATTCACTTGGCAATAAACAACCAAAAACAATATCAACACTGCAAGAGACCTCACATACTGAGACAAGCCAAGGTCTGTGAAAAGCTTGAAATTGGCATGCGCAAGGCCATAGCTCCAGTAATGACCGCTGCTTTCCAGACGGAGATGGTCAAGAGTAAATATAGGCCTGACGCCGATGGCACTTGCAAAACATGTGGGGGGCAGGATCCTCATGCACCATCTTTGGTTATGTCCAAAGAACGAGCAAGCTGGGGCTCAAACTAACACATGTTTGCAGGCTCTCCGGGTTGCCAATATCAGTGCCAAGCTCCCCCTGTTTCCCTCTTTTTCCACCACATGACCTCGAAAGCGAAATCACCAGATTGAGTCGATGCAAGCCCGTACCACCACTCACCGGTAACCGGATTGCGCAGCACCACAACATGTTCACTGATGGGAGTTGCACGGTCAGGCACTTCCATGTCGCAAATGTTGCGGCCTACGCAATAATTGCAGATTGCATTCAGAGTGTCGCCGCAAAGCAAATAATTATCGACCAATACACACGCGATAAGAAAACTCATGGTGTATTATTTAGATGCGTTGCCGTATCAACCATCCACGGCAACCAAACTATAAATTGAGCAGAGTTTCCTGCCATCATCCGTGTGCTTTGCTTGTTTGAGCGCAAGCTTATTCACGCCCACAGCTCATACGCGTGTGACCTTCTCAACGACATCATGGACGAGCCCCGTCCAGCGCGATTTGGAACCTCAAAAAACTTGGACTTGATACATCACGCGTGTAGAGCTGTGCAGATGTTCGGTCGCGACCACACCTCTGTGGTAAAGGTTAAATCCCATAGTAAAATTGCCGACTTAGATACCCTTGAAGACAAGTGGGCGTGCATTGGAAACGATGCGGCGGACAGCGCTGCAAATCAAGCACGCAACTCAACCAGGACCAACGTTTTGCATTTTGCATTCTTAAGAGCGGAGAAAGCTATCAACGAAGCTCACACTTTGTTAGGAATAATCTCACAGTTGCAAGTGAGTAATTTTACCGGACAAGAGGACTTGGTACAAAGTGACCCGGTTGTGAAACTATGTGGCAGTGTCCATAGCACTTGGCCCACACGTAAATTGCCAGCGTTTGATGAACGGCCGTGACGAAGCGTTTTGGGGAACTACGTATATGCTTAGGCTGTATTGGGTCTCCACTCTTCGCTGGGCACCTCACGTCCAGGAAGATGAATGGGGTGTTTAATGGATTGAGATGTTTCTCAGCTTTCAAATGAGCACTGAGTCGCATATCCCAGATAACCTTGGAACTGATGATCAACCACTCTTCACATTGCCAGAACACAATGAAGCGGTGAAACTCATTAAGCCGACTACGCATAAGCGTATGATTAGCTTTGAGAAAAGTTTGCGGGCCTTGGAAAAATATTGGGGGTCGAATTATTCCCCTGCAACAATTGCAGCAAACCTCAAAGCCTCCGGGCCCTCGGTTTCTTCCAGGCATCAGAAAAGGCCGTGGTTCCCTTTCCACGAAGACATAACGCAAGCACTTCGCAATAAGGCAGGTTGCCCGGTCACCATTGGGGACCTGCCCACTTTGGTTGCAGACATTCGCATGATTTCCATCCCTTTGCAAGAAGGGGATACCGTCGAGTCACAGTGGACTAGACGGAGGTTTCACAAAGAGCGCCTTCGGGCGCCGCGCTGAGGAGCACGGACAAAGAGACGGGTGGCTTGAAGCATCACCCTTTGACTCGGCGTGTCTGGTGTGTTTGGTTGGACAAAGATCTAGCTAGTTTTTGGGTCGGGCTGGATCAAACATCGGGTTGTTGGGTTATGATGGTCATCACAATTGTCCAAACCCACTTGGTGCCTCCACAGCTTTGTTCACCACCACTTGGTTGACGTTGGAAAGGGAGCAAAAATTAGAATTTTAGCAGTTAAGTGGGGATTTCCCACTAAACCACAATAAGCAAAAATGTAAAATGTTCCCAACGACAACCATGACCAGGGTCTCACCTGAGCCACACTCAATCTTCGCTGTGCCCCCAGCTGATGTGGGAGTTGAAGAGGTGTCCCTTACTTTCCTGACGGTACATTCGTGACGTGCCCGCAGAAATGTTGACCCAAGATTAATAAATTTATGGTTGATTAGTAGCAGGGTGTCTCATTCTTCAGTTTTGGGTGGAATTTCCCTGCAGCAATCCGCCCGCTTGATTAATCCAGAGTCAACAAATGACGGTGAACGCACCTCTTGGCCTGGCAGAATCCCAAAAAACACACGCCGTCCAAAGGAATTCCGCGTATCGAAGGGACATCTGGTTGAATCGTGCTGGTCCAACCTCATTTCGACGGATGAATGAAACAAGGTTTAATATCGGTAAAGCACGGGCTAATATGGGCGAAACACCCCCATCCCAATAAACGCCGCTGATTTCATGAATCCGGGTCAACATTGCCCAAGATTCCCCCAACACTTGGCTTGCAGCCAAGAACCCTAAAAATACATGTCCGAACAAAAGTGTGTCTAGTTCACCGCAAGCAGGTTGAAATCGACTCGACTCGTGTCAACCATGCACTGGATTCCCCGTTCGCCATGTTGCAAGTAAACTACCCACAAACCATGGTTGAATGCCCAATAGCATCCACCGTACCTCTCGCGCATCCGTTCAAAATATTCGCCAAACGCGCCGGTTCCACGAAGCGACGTCCCTCCTCTAAGGTGTCGGCGATGACCACGTCCTGAAGAAAGACACAGGTGAGAAGCGTTGGGGTCGCCCGCCTCCACTCATTCTTTCTGCATCTTCCCTCTGATTGGTGGTTTGTTCCGGGAGTTTCCCATTTGCCTACAAGAACCAGGGCTTCAAGTCTCCAAACCACCAACCCAAACCACAATTCAGTTTGTGTTTCATTTGTTCCCCACGGTTGGTACTCGACTGACTTCCCGTTACCCCCAAATGCTTGGCTCTGGGAAGCCTTCAGGAAGTCGTCCAAGGTAGGCGGTTTTCGCTTTGGCATGGAAGAAACCA